TGCTGGTCATCTGCTCCCATAAAATGCCTTCAGGGCAGATTTTGCATGGGTCTGGCTTCTGCCCATTTCAAGAGGATGTGGCTAAATGGGAAAGGGTGGAGCAGAGGGACCATTTTTGGCCAGGGTAGTTGTGAAACACCTGCTGTGCCCCTTCCACCCACAAGTCCAAGCACTTCACAAGCCAAGAATGAAGAGTGCAGCAGCAGAGCGGCTGGGTGAAAAAGTACAGCAGGCAGGGTGGTGAGGCCTCCGCTAGTTTGCAAGACTGCCCAGTGAAGGTCAGACCTACACCACAGGTCTTGAGATCCCTGGTAGATAAGATTCACTCCAAGCAGGCCTCTCAGACCTACTCAGTGACTTGGCAGATGTGCTCACATCTGGCCAGTTGTATTAATGGCATTGCAAGCCTTTCAGTCCCTGGGAGGCCCTCGGAGACTCTCCCATCCTGCTCCCATTCCCACCTGCTCACCTTTGCTGGAGGGGGTCTCTGTAATTATCAGTGGGAGAGAAGACCAGCTTTCTTGCCAAAGGGATGCTTGTGTGAGAGTGTCAGCAGGGACAAAAACAGATCACAGCATACTGCTATAGGGCAACTCCCTACAAAACAATGTTTCTTGTTCTAATACAGATTTCTTTTTTAAAATCAAGTTGACACCTGTGGCTCCTCATAGGAAGTCCTTACTTTCTGGGTATGCACCTCATTATTGGGGTGGATTACGGGGAAACATTCTGTTTAGACGGCAAAGGAGTCCAGGGACGATCCTTTTGAGAAACCATCGTAGGCTGAGACTAACATCTCGTCTTATGTGAAGTGCGGGACTTTGGGTGCACAGGAAACTCTGTGAAAGAATACTGTAAAAAAAGTGAATTGTCTCTTCTGCACTCTAATCATGTCCTCGCCCACACACTGAGCATCGCAGGGGTTTCTGACAATATTTTGCAGCTGAGTATATTGAAAGAAGAGCACTGGGAAAGGAAGAAGAGCAACCAAAACTGTGGAATCTTCTCAGGCTCATTCTAGACCTTTTTTTTCTTTTCTTTCCTTCATTATTTCATTTTTACCAAAACTCACTGTCCTAACAAGAACATCTCTGTTGGCACTAGTCTTAATGCAGATGCAGTTACATAAAAAAAGTCTATTCTATTTCGGAATGCACAAAAGAACTCTTATCAACTGCAAACCTTCACCAAGGCAGATGGGCTCAAGTTCAGGCATACGTTTGCTAAAACAAAGGGAAGGGCTAAAGCAGTTTCCTTCAGCGTCAAAACTCACCTTCCTGTTAACATGCAATATACACAAAGTGTAACAGACCATGATTGCTTATTTGAGCATCTTCAGAACAATGTGTTCTCTTTTCAGGTCTGTGACAGGTTGAAGTATCTCTTCAGTGCTCTTTATTCAGTCATGTCCCATCTCATGCAGATCCACCCCTGACAAAACACTTGACACACTGTTTCACAGTCATTTTAAGATGTTTTAAAACCAAACTGCCATTTAAATAAATAATCCCAGCCTTCTCCTCTCCCTGCCTGCTGCCTTTCAGTCCTTGTTCCTTCCTAAGGTCAGCTCCAGCAGTGTGCAGCTACGCATCTCACACATTCAACGATAAAGCCTCACCACTCAATGACAGCTAGTTAGCTTTCAGACTAGCCAGACCAGGGGAACACTAGGGCACAGTCTGTGGTTCCCCATCAACAAACAGCCCTGAAGAGTAAGAATCCACCAAACAAGTAGATGCCCCATCTTCAAGCACAGCTGCTCAAAACAGATGTCCCTCGCACCACAGGCCCTGTGTCATTAAGGACACATGCCACTTTGGTGTAAGATGGGCTGCACCACTTGGTGTCACCAAAAAATCCCTTTTTCCTGAACGCATCCAAAGAATCTGTCTTTGATTAAAACGGGCCCTGCCTCAGTGTTAAAGGCAGTGCCAGGAGTGTCACTTAGCCTGTTCCTCCCTAACACCTTCACCACTTCCTCCTTCTGGCCACGTCTGTATGTGGGCACAACTGCCAGCAACAGCAGGCAGCAAAGGAGAAGATCCCAATGACCTTTTCTTTCTGATCATTGATTGCTGGGCAGGCACCTTGGGAAAACAACATGGTTGTTTCTCGACCATAATGGTGCCTGTGGTTAAGAAACAGAGCAAAAACACAGGGAGATCACTCCTGTTGCGAATGCTGCTTGTTTTTATCTACTCAGCAGGATAAGGGATGGGAATTCAGTGCAATTGTCTTGCTGTGGAGCTGCTTCCCTTTTACGGAGTGGAACACCACTCCAGCTCTCACACAGCAATGCTGTGCTCCAGCCAGTCACACACACGATTGTCTCAAAGAGCTGGGGATTTTAAAAGCACACTGGCCTTGAATTAAGTAGCTGGCTGGCTGATGCTCCACTGGCTCTACATATGTGGTGGAGGGAAACTTCATTAAGCAACTGGCGGCTCCAGGACAGAGTAAAGTCAGTTGCTATTTCAGGGAAAGGAAAGGCAACTGCTCCCTGGGGGGAATGACTGCACTAGCTCAGCGCCAGGAATAGACTGAGATTTTCAAAAATTTTTTTCCCCCTACACTTCAGGAAAAGCGAACACACAATGTTCATTCGCAGGGATCGTTTCCTGAACATGATGTGTGCTCGCTGTCCCACAGGTCACTTTCCAGTGTGTCACATCCTTCTGCACAAGGGAGAGCAGGAAACAGCAGACTCCCAGTATGAGGCAAAGCATTCCCATTGCAGCGATTGGTCCACAGGAGGTATAAATTGGTCTCCTCCAGAAACAGATCAAAATTTGTCTTTGGGCAGGTCAGCTGGAAACTGAAGGTAAGTTTGAACCAATATTTTTGGAGTTTCTCCGAGTACTGTACTAGGAAAGCTTTTGCAGGTTTTGGACTAATGTATACCTTTACTGTTGGGGAGCTTTTTCTCTAAGAGCAGGAGTTGGTTTTGTTTTCATTTATGCTGGCATAAATCAGTGTATTCAGAAGACACGCATCACTGTATGGCTTATGCTATATATTGAATGACTGTTCTACTAACTGCAGTGAGATGGCTGCTGTTATTACCTGAGACTGTTTGCAGCAAGAAAATCTGCAGACCAAATTGTTAAGAGGCTACAGGAATCGATATATTTAATGATCAGCATATTGATCTGTTGTTGAATTATTGATGATATGCTCATTTTTTATTTCAATGCCAGTATCTATGTAGCTTAGTGTTAGTCCTTGTGCCTTCAGCTTCATCTCCATCTCTGACTATAGTGTAAAAAAAAAGAGCACGCTGTTTCTAATTAAGAAAACCACCATGTACTAAGTGGCTCACATGGTCCGACAATATCAAGAGAGGCTGGGGTCGTTGTTTTGAAGGGCATAATGGGAGGTCCTAAAGGATTCTGTGCGAGACGGATTAGGACAAGTAGAAGGGGAAAAAATTGCAGTGAGAATTATTTGCTTACACACTTCAGGATGGAAAGACTCTTTATGGTAGGAGGTTTCCTCCTTCTGAAATGCAGGAATTCTGCAGAATGAAAGCACTGAGGTTCCTAACTATATAGTGTGCCTGTGTGAGGGACTAGGCACCTCCAGCTCATGCAGTATAGAAGACTTAGAAGAGAAAAGGTGGCTGCGGCAAAGAATAGCTTTTCTTAGTTGGCTCTGGGACAGGGTCTTTCTGCTACAGAGACTTCTTTTGGCTATGAGGGCATTCTGGACTGCAAACAGCTTCTTAGCTCTCTGACTAGACCTTGCTAGGTGCAGAGGCAGCACAGCCTTGTGTACGGTGCAGTGTTGTGTAGCACAGCAGCTCTGCTCCCACCAGACAACTGGCAATGCTACATCAGTCCTGTTGCCTCCCTTGCCTCAGTTACCCTATATGTAAAGTGGGGTTAAGAACGCTGGCTTCCTTTGTAAATAACTTTGCAGCCCTAGAGCAACCCACAAATGCTTATTGGAACATTTTTTCTACCCTTGTGACAAAGAACGGAGAGAGCAAAGAGATCGCCTAGTAACAAAACCCTGAAGATTCACCTTTTAGAACGGAAGACACTCTGCTGCTATCTTGCCGGGGGAGGGCTGCCATAGCCAGCAGTTTTCAAGCCTTTTGTATTCACAGGCCCCTGTATTTTCCCTGTTCCCCCATCCCCAAGTGAGTGTGCACCAAAAGTGGGCTTGCTTTTCTGATGTGCCCTTCATGAACCTTTTAAACAAGGTCCATAGGCCTCCCTGCCGCTGTCACTGGGGATCCACCAACACAAGTTGGACTAAGCACCACAGAACAAGGGTTCCCATCTTTGTCCAGACCCTGATGCCAGGTTACAATAGGAAAAAAATGCTGCAGGATCTTGAGTTGCTTAGGCTGAAAGGAAGGAAGGATGTTCACAATACCCATCTGAGGCATCAATGAGCTTCTCACCTCCTAGATCTAAAAGCCAGATCTTGACTGCCCTCAGCATCTTCCCTCTGTCCTCCTTGTGCAAAATGACCCCTAAATAGCAACCTGGGATGGGTGGTTTTCCCCTCCTCAGAGCCTGGCCTTTCTTGTGAAAGATGCCCTTGAATATTGCAGATCCTCTGAATCCCATTATGGGGACAACATATTACTGCTGGCAGCATTACCACTCTGGGCACTAACTCACTTAATCTCAAGGGAATTTCTGTGCCCTGGGTTGGAAGAGACGTTTTGCATCTTCACAGAGGTAATGACAACAGCAGGTCTGATCCCAGTCCTTAAGGCATTTTAGTCTTCTCAAGGAACACAAAAAACATTTAAAAGTTCCTCTGTCTGAAAGTTACAGTGGAATATGGTAATTAAATGTAAATATGTGTACGTGCATGTGTGTGCGTGTATGTGTGTGCAGGCAGCAAACCTTTCATGTAGCTGGGTGAAGCAAAAAAAAAAATTGGCTGGATATCATCCCTGAAATGGTGGTCCAGGCTGAATATGTTTTAAGTTTTTTTTTAAACATAAATCCCAACCCAGCCTTTTCTGTTTCTGCAGAGAGGCCATGGAGAGAAACGGTGCTGCCCTTCCACAAACACTAGACCCCACGCACCACTTCCACATCGTGCTGCTGGATCAGAGACAGAGGCTGTGTGGCCAGATTGCTCACCTTCACAAGGTGGCTCGTAAACTCAACAAGCTCCGCAAGAGGTCCCTGATTGCCAACGTTGGCGGGAGCACCCTGACCGCTGCGGGAGCTGTCACAGCCATCGTGGGGCTGTCCCTGAGCCCAGCAACACTGGGGGCCTCTCTCCTGGCGTCGGCTGTGGGTCTGGGCCTGGCCACTGCCGGGGGGGCCGTCAGCATCACCTCCGATCTCTCCTCCGTGCTCTGCAATTCCCGGGAGGTGAGGAAGGTGCAGGAAATCGCAATGACTTGTCGGAAACAGATGAGGGAAATCCTCGGCTGCCTGGAGTTCCTCCGCCGGGGGCAGGGCCCGGGGGACCCCACACTGCGCCAGTCGGAGAAGAGGGCCTCCATCTCGCTGTACAACTCCATCTGCTTCATGGTCTTCTGCGGCTCGTGTGCAGGCAGCAAACCTTTCATGTAGCTGGGTGAAGCAAAAAAAAAAATTGGCTGGATATCATCCCTGAAATGGTGGTCCAGGCTGAATATGTTTTAAGTTTTTTTTTAAACATAAATCCCAACCCAGCCTTTTCTGTTTCTGCAGAGAGGCCATGGAGAGAAACGGTGCTGCCCTTCCACAAACACTAGACCCCACGCACCACTTCCACATCGTGCTGCTGGATCAGAGACAGAGGCTGTGTGGCCAGATTGCTCACCTTCACAAGGTGGCTCGTAAACTCAACAAGCTCCGCAAGAGGTCCCTGATTGCCAACGTTGGCGGGAGCACCCTGACCGCTGCGGGAGCTGTCACAGCCATCGTGGGGCTGTCCCTGAGCCCAGCAACACTGGGGGCCTCTCTCCTGGCGTCGGCTGTGGGTCTGGGCCTGGCCACTGCCGGGGGGGCCGTCAGCATCACCTCCGATCTCTCCTCCGTGCTCTGCAATTCCCGGGAGGTGAGGAAGGTGCAGGAAATCGCAATGACTTGTCGGAAACAGATGAGGGAAATCCTCGGCTGCCTGGAGTTCCTCCGCCGGGGGCAGGGCCCGGGGGACCCCACACTGCGCCAGTCGGAGAAGAGGGCCTCCATCTCGCTGTACAACTCCATCTGCTTCATGGTCTTCTGCGGCTCGCACAGCTTCCTCGTGCCAGAATACACAAAGGAGGTCACAAAAGTGAGCCAGGCCGTGCTGAAGGCCAAAATCCAGAAGCTGGCTGCCAACCTTGAGATCTGCACCAGGGCAATAGATGAAGTCTGTGAACTTCTTGAGTCCAGGGCAGAGCTTTCCCCATGCATGAGGAGACTCAACTTGGGTGCTAAAACCTCTGCTGAGACCCAAAGTCCATCCAGCTGAAATGACGTTTACCCCACAATTAAAACTGGGCTTGGAGACACTATATTATTGTCACCATTAGCACTGCTACCTGTTACTATCGTAATATTGGTGGTGGATATCAACACAGGTGTGCACATCTCCTGCGTGCCTTATTTATACCTGAACACAAACTCCTTCATGTTAAGAAGCTAAAACTTACACACACAACCCATCACCTCACAGCTGCCACTTGATTGAGGCTGGAGGTTATGATGGACACGCGGACTATTGGGTACACATCAGCAGATCCCCGAGGCTACAGGCAGGGGTAGATGGCCATTCCTCCAACCCATGTTTCCCCAGCCATCTCCTCGTCTCCGCTTCCCCAAGGCAGCAGAAAGAAGGGGGTCAGGAGGCTGATGAAACCCCTGCAGTCCTGGTGCTGACTGACTTTGGATTATAAATTGCTTATGAATCTATGAATAGTAAAAGGGCTGGGGTACCCTCAAAAAGCCAGCAGCTGCCAATTTCCAATAGAGTACAGTCCCGTTACCAGGGCATATCTGGAAATGCTGTTGAAGGAAGCAGGTCCAGATATGACAGACTGTACGGATGGCTCATCATCCCAGGGTGAAACAGTGGGGCCGGAAATTGTTACCCCTTCCGAAGAAACCTCTCCAAGCTGAGAACTGAGATGTTTGTGTTCTATTTATTTACATCGGATTATTTTAAGGTTTTGATACTGTACTTCAAGATGTATATATTTTTTTCTTTTAAAAAGGAGGCCTCTGCTCCAAGTGAAAGCAGCTGTTCATAGAGGCAAAGCAAGTCTGTAGCATGTGAGAGCAAGTTACCTGTTCTTTGGCTGTGAGGGAGGGCAAGTCCCTGTAGGAAAGGGAAAGCATGGCCTGAATGCTGGTAGTTATAAAATATGTGAAACACGGTCAACCAGTGACAGAACTTACGAACAAAACCAGAGAGAAGGACAGGTCAGTGACCCTGGGACCACAGCCTGCCTCAGGGGACTGGTGGAAGAAAGCAGTTGTATCTCTTCAGCAGGGAGGGAAGCATAGGTTGGTGTTACTGGTCTGAGCTGGAGTCCAGCTGTGACGGGAGCCCATCTGAGAGGTGGAGGTGCTGCTCTCCATGCAGTCGAGCAGCCTGTGAGACCCACAGTGGTTTGTCTGTGAGGGTGGAGGCAGCACTCATGGAGAGTGACACACACTCCTAGCAATGCTTCTCAGGGAAGGCTTCATGTAAGCAAAATATATACTGGTACTAATATTCAAACGAGGTGCAGAGGAGTAGGATGATTCAATGGCAGAGCACTTATGAAGGAGAAGGAAGGGCTGGAACCCTGTTTCAAGTGACTGTTTTGCTAAACATGTCCTTTGTGACTTTTGACCCATCAATGCCTCAGTTCCCTGTCTAAAAATGGGGACAGTAGAGCTTCCATACCTCACAAGGATGTTTCTGGGACAAATATTGCAAAGTGCTCAAGTACTATGATGATGGGGATCATGTCAGTACCTTGAAGAGGTACGAGGAAGAGACCCCGGAAACTAGCTTGAGACAACTACAGGAGTTAATGAAGGGATAATTCCACCTCCACAAGTATGTCCCAGTGGTAAGGGAAAATTCCCTGACAATGCATAAATCAAAACAATCAGAAAACTCACTCTGTAATTTTGTAGCATTGAGCAAACTCTTAGGAAGGGCAGCACTCCATCTCACAAAGCTTGAATTCTTGTCCTTTTTGTTTCTTTTTCTCATGACACCCACATTTGTTTTTACACATAAGAAGAACAAAAGCTTTGGTCCCTCAGTGTGTGACTCAGATGTCTGTAATGCCCATGCCTGTTTGCCAGAAATGCACAAGTACATTGCTGGTTTGATTAAATGAATACGAAGCATCTTTGTGTCAGTGTCTCTTTGCACACCTGCATATGGTCACATTCCTGCCTCCTGGCTCACCCTGCTCGATTTCAAGCTCCAGGCACTGGAGCTAGGGAATCGATAGGAGCAGCTGGATGTGTTCAAAAGGGGAGAATGAAAAGTGAGGTCATCAGCTCCATGCCACACAGCTGGCATTTGCATAGGAGAGTATACGTTTATCTCTGTGTGAGTGCATACCCTCCTGTGCCTGCCCATGTACACTGTGGATGCTGATCTCTGACATGCAAACTCCGAGGTGCATATGTATGAGCACGTAAGTGTGTTTTTAGAGTGTGAACTGCACACTATGCAAATGAAAACACATGTGAAATTTTTCCTAGTGCTCCAGCATATCACCAGATAACTCCAGCAGACCAGTTATGAATTCAACATACTTATGAGATGGCTGGTTTTCTCATCACAGAGAAAATTATATAACTTATATTGCTCTCCTACCTTCTCCTCAGTTTTCTAGCATTGCAGCTTTGTCCACACATCCACACGCAGCGAACACCACAGGAACAACCACAGCTCTGAACAGACTAATCTGACTGGCAGAATGATCTGAATTTGATAGTTTAGAGCTTCATGAGTGCTGGTTTGCTCTGCTCAGCACAGTCCTGCGCTGTAATCCCAGCCACTGTTTCAGCAGCTGGGACAAATTAGAAACTTTTGCTTCCATTCTCAGCCACACCGGCAAAAAAAAATCCTCCTTCTGTTCTGTTTTTCCATAGATTAACCCTTCACTCGAGGTCAGGATCTGGGTTTTTGCACAGCGCTGCTGAGTGAGTGTGATTGAGCCCAAGCCTGCTCTCCTGGCCAGGTCTCAGCCACTCCACTCTCCAGGTTTGCTTGCTAGGAATGCAAAGGGAGGCTCAGGCAGAGAGTGGGGTCTGCAGGCTGGAAGGTCTGTATTCCTACAAAAGATAGAGGAGCTGTGTGACTTTCTTTGCTCCAAAACCCATCCAGTGCCTTTGTCGTCAGTGGTGCTGAGTCTAGTTGGAGGTAACTAGTGGTGTCCCCCAGGGGTCAGTACTGGGCCCAGCCTTGTTCAACTTCTTCATCAACGACCTGGATGAAGAGTTAGAATGTACCCTCAGCAAGTTTGCTGATGACACCAAACTGGGAGGTGTGGTAGATACACCAGAAGGCTGTGCTGTCATTCAGCGTGACCTGGACAGGCTGGAAAGTTGGGCAGAGAGGAACCTGATGAGGTTCAACAAAGGCAAATGCAGAGTCCTGCACCTGGGGAGGAACAACCCCATGTATCAATACAGGCTTGGGGTGGACCTGCTGGAGAGCAGTTCTGTGGCCAGCAGGACGAGGGAGGTTCTCCTTCCTCTCTACACTGCCCTGGTGAGGCCTCATCTGGAGTACTCTGTCCAGTTCTGGGCTCCCCAGTTCAAGAAAGATGAAGAGCTACTGGAAAGAGTCCAGCGGAGGGCTACAAGGATGGTGAGGGGACTGGAGCATCTGTCCTACGAGGAGAGGCTGAGGGAGCTGGGCTTGTTCAGCCCGAAGAAGAGAAGGCTGCGAGGGGACCTAATATATACTTACAAATATCTGAAGGGTGGGTGTCAGGAGGATGGGGCCAGACTCTTTTCAGAGGTGCCCAGCAACAGGACAAGGGGCAATGGGCACAAACTGAAGCATAGGAAGTTCCATCTGAACATGAGGAAGAACTTCTTCACTCTGAGGGTGACAGAGCACTGGAACAGGCTGCCCAGGGAGGTTGTGGAGTCTCCTTCTCTGGAGATATTCAAGACCCGCTTGTACAAGGTCCTGTGCAGCCTGCTGTAGGTGACCCTGCTTCGGCAGGAGGGTGGGACTAGATGACCCACAGAGGTCCCTTCCAACCCCTACCATTCTGTGATTCTGTGACACCTTCTAAGCCAGGTGGTCCTGTGAATCCAAGCCTGCATCCTCACTCCACAGCTACGCTGATCTAGCAGCTAATAGGCAGGGCAGGACGTGGTCGGGTCCTCCTCACCCAGCTCCGGGCATGCCTTCCTCTCTCCTCACATGCAACCAGCACTGGATCTCATGTGATACACTGGGGAGCCAGCTTTGGGAGTTGTGTTGGCAGAAATCTACCATATTAGGGGGTATGATTCATTTCCTACTCTTTTTGCTCCCTGAAACTGCTCACTGCTGCGTCAGATGAGCACAAGAGCTGGTACCAAGAAAAGCACCAGAAGCAAGTGACCTGGGCTCAGACAGGGGTGCACCTACTCCA